GGGTGAGTCAACTCATTTGATTTATAAGTAACAGCATTTGGAACCCCTGAAAAAGGATATGTCCTCTGACTGATATGAACTTTACAATCTAGATATTACCTAAAACTATCATTAGTGATGTGATATTGTATCACAATGGCCTATCCATCTTAGTTAACAATCTTTCCTTTGCCAACCCGTATTAGGAAATTACCTAACTTCTTTTTCGCACATCCAAAATTTCAACTATATTAGGTAATTATATTCAAAGCCTACCGGGTGAGCACGCTCAGCATAATATAATTGTATTTTTACAAACCTTATAATGTTCTGGTTATTATCATTGTATAAATATAACCTTATCTTTGATCTGAAGTCCTGCCCTATATATATAATGCTAAAATTTATAATCTTATCTCTGCTTCTAAGCCCTACTCTACATAAGTTATGTTATAATCAAAGTCTATCGGTAATACGCGAATTCATTATTTTTTCGTTTCTATAATTTAAATCAATCATATTATTCTTATTACTTCGTGACCTGATAATAATCACACGAACAAAACCTATTTAAACTAAGACTTTTGACTTTGCTTAAAATTTCAATGTGAATTAACCAATAATTCATTTATCATTTAATAATTATATACGTTATCACATCAAATTTTCAAATTCCATTAGTATATTAATTTGAATTTACCCCATTAAAACTTTCAATATCCCTGCCCATTCACGTGTAATCTTTCGTCTTTTAAATAATGGCAACACCTTCCGGTAGCTCTGCATCGTCAGAAGAACATCAAAAACAACTCAATCGTGAACACCAGAAATGTTTTAGAAATAAGAATAAGGAAACTACCTCACACCTATCCATTGATGTTTCCAAAGACCTTCAACACTACTTAACACCGAAGTCCCTACAGTTGTAGTCGAACCTCCTGCTATTGATACTGATACTGCTTCTGCACCATCAGAAGAACATCGAAAACAACTCAACCATGAGCATCAGAAATGTTTTAGAGATAAGAATAAAGAAACTACCTCACACCTATATATTGATGTTTCTGAAGAACTTCGACACTTACTTAACACCGAAGTCCCTACGGTTGTAGTCGAACCTCCTGCTATTAATACAGATTCTGATTCTGACGACCTCTCACCTATACTTACCACCGAAGTCCCTACGGTTTTAATTGAACCTCCTATAATTGGTACTGATCTTGAGTTAACTAATACCCAAAATAATCCGAAACCTCGCCGTAGTAAAACTGTACGTCATGATATGGGTAGAATGAACCAGACCTGTCGACATTGCAAAGCTAAGTTTTGGATGATAGAAAAAGATCAAAATAGTGGATACGCTGCACCGAGATTTCCCCTTTGCTGTGCCAATAGCAAAATACAATTACTATCTTTATTTGAACCCCCACCCTATCTACTGCATCTTTATACTTCAACTAATCCTAATGCAGTTGGCTTTCGTAAACAT